TTGAGCATTTCCACTGTTCCACTATAAGTTCCGAATACTCGGTCTAAGATTATACGTAGTTATTTATTTAAATTTTAATATCTATCATCCCACCATCTTCCTCCTCGGCTTTCTTGCCACCACACTTGGCAGCAGCCAAAGGTTTTTCCTTTGCCAACAACGTGCAACAAATGCAGCCACGCATAAATTATTTTGTCGCTCTATCGGCCTGTCGTCGCAAGTGCAGTGCAAAATCGAATGAACATACATTTATACACATACCTACACCGGCCACAGGCGCTATTCGATGCTTTGCCACCTTTATTCTTTTGTTTTCATGTTTTTCAATATGAAGGTATTTTGTTTTTTGTATATTTTTGCTCATTTCCCATTAATGTTTTTGCTGCAATGCGACAAACAGCTTACTGCAACACGTTACTCTTTTAAAATTTCTAGCAACGCCGGTATGTTGTCGTTCACAATTTACATAGTTGATTCTTGGTTGTAGCCTAGATGGATTCTATGAACGAGTGCGGACACCCTTTATTCTGGAGCAACTGCAAAAAATTTCCTAGGTAAATTGTTAATGTATGTAAATGCAAGCCGGAAAAATAAAAAAAAAATAGATACTCACTATATGTGTGTACACTAACTTAAAAGTCTCTACTAAACTGCCAAAAGTTTTTAACTTAAAGTTTTGAATATTTCATAAAAGACATTTTCGAAATTGAGAAGTGCAACTGCGCGACAACGGCTAAAGATAACGCAGAACTCGAGTGAGAACCCGAGGAGCGGCAAGATAAAACCGAAGTGCTAATTAAGGAGACAAAGTCGAGGTTAAGGTAGATGTAGATGTGTTGAAAGGTCGCCTCTGTAATTTGCAGTTGAATCGTCCAACTACTTCGACGAACGCTCCTAAGGTAAAAAATCCATCTTTGATAACACGATTTTTTTCCAAGTCTTTAAGATGAAATTTGAAAAGAAGGCTACAGCAAACAACTGTAGCGTGGAGGATAAATCCAAATGCAGCGAAAATCTTGCAGACTATTCCCGACTGTGAAAGGAACATTTACGATACATTAACGAGGGCGAAGACGTTATGGTAGCGAGCACTGGAAGAAAATTTACCAGATGTGCTGAAGAATCGCTACCAAAAAGCCAACGGGTCTCTAAAGGAATTCGCCTCCGAGATTGAGAGATTGACTTTTGGCAATTGGGGAGGCATCAGGTGAGCAGCTCGAAAGGATAAAAATCCAAAGATTGATCAGCGGAATGTATACCAAGCAGGAGACGTATGTATACGAATCCAAAGCCAACATTTGCTGAAACTGTCTCGTATGCTCAGACACGGGGAACGGCGGCGCTCTTAAGTACACCAGCCTACAAAGCCCATCGAGTGGAGACACCGGACGGTCAATCGCAGGGAAATATAGTCCTGCTACCAATTAGCCGTTAAACTAAAGCGATCTAGCAAAAAGGGTCGGGTGCTGGCTCCAGCCGTTGAAGACCCCATAATCTCCATCTGACAAATTGGTCTGAAAGCGAGCAACCTCACTGTTGGTGGATGTGTAAATGGGCAAAATCGAGTGCTAACAGTGGATACTGGGGCGTCACTTTCCATTATTCGACCTGATTTGGCCACTTGGTATGGAAAGCCACTACCTGGAGCAAAGCTGCAGATTGCAACGGGTGAGCGCACCCAAATGTTAGGAGAAGTACCATGCGAGGTAATAATCGGACTACAAGTTTATAGTGGCAGACATTGTGGATGAAGTCATCATCGGCGTGAACTTCATTCTTGGCCAAGGCATCCAGATTATCCCTCAGGGAATGATCCTGACATATCGTGACAGGAAAGTGCCACTTAGGGTTGGTTACGTCAGCCAGTACTGCAGCAGACGGTTGCTCTTAGGGATAGTCCTGAAGATTCCAACCAGCAACGCAAGCGATTAGTTGGGTGGAGGTTGGCAGTAATGAAGACGGAGTTGTTTCGCCAGGGGAAGGAAGAGGTACAGCGATGCAGGAAAAGCGTGGCAGTTCCGCCAACTCAGTGAAAATAAGGAAGTGGTCACGCCAAGCCAGTAAGTAGCTCAAAAGGCAGTGGTTTCGACAGCAAGAGAGCCACTAAACCACGTTCCAATGGAGATACACCAGTGGCCGGAAATGACGGCGGCTGTGGGAGAAGTGGGCGCGATTTGAAGTATCCAGGAAAAGGTCGTGGTAAGCTTTATAAAAAAAATACATAACATCAACGAAGAATTAATTCTTAAAGGTTTTTCATAATATTTATTTTTTTGGTTGTTTTTCTATTCTTTGTGGAACTAAAATAAACTGAAAGTGCCAAATGTTTTTTCTTTAATTTCTGATTTTTTTTTTAATTTCTGTTTGAAGCTTGCACTTTATAAGTATTAGTTTGCAAGTCTTTTATTCGCATTGAAATGCTAAATAATAACGCTGCTAAAAATAGCTTGCTTTATAATGTCTGCCCTGCTTCAAGCAAATTAGGATTTTCTACTCCCTAACAGCGTTCGACGAATAATATGTACATATGTATGTATGTAATAAAAAATAATAAAAAAATAAAACAAGCGCGCAAATTAATCGCCTAAACATTAAAAGCCAGCAGACATTGAAGTGCTACTTATTCAAAATGGCATGGCGTACCAAATTCGAATGGTTGATTAAGCATATTTGGTTGCGGTCACACGTAATTATATGCCATTGTATTGTAAGTAAATATTGTTTATGTAGACAGCTTTGTTAACTGCGAATTATTTTTTGGTAGTATAGAAGACTCAAAAGGAGATATCTTAAATACTTTATAATTGACTTATGTGGATGCTTTTAACGCCCACCAAAAATTGGTGGGCGAATTTTCGAAACTGAAGTAATTTGACAAAAAAGGAAAAGTTCACCAGAACAGGTTCAGTGCAAGAATTCCTTTATTGGAAAGTATTTGGCAAATTATGAAATCAAGTTTTATATTTTCCTATAAATCAAGTGTAACAAAACCAATTATTAGAAAAACAAGCTGAAGAAAGTCTTTTAAATAGGAGTTTAAAAGCAAAAATTGCAATTTTACAACAATTGACTTTCTGCAAAAAAAATGGCGATAAGAAAAAGCACCAAAATCAGAATCTTATTAACACTTTAAAAGGAGATGGATCACTAAGTGAAAGAATTCCGAAAATGTGCATATATAAACCCTTTTCAGCTACTGTTTAGAGAGCAAAGTTGACGACAGTATTTCCGGGATTATGTTTTCTGACAATGTTAATTATTTTTCGAAACATTTTGGATTCTAGCAGCATTTTCACAGGACTCTTCGTTTTTATTTTATTTTTAGCAGCTTCCGAAACTTTTCGTGATGTTTTTGGACTTTTCGGTATTTTTGCGGAATTGTAGAAATTTTCCGGGAGCTTGTCATTGGAAATTAGTAGGGTCCGGCTAAAGGTAGATTTTTCAGTCAAAGCCGAAGCCGAATCGAACATTCGGTTTTGTTCTAGCAATCGGCTGATTACCGTAGATTCACTTTAAATTTGTTTTCAACAAATCAGCAGAAGAAAAAATATAAATAATCAACATTTGCAGCCGCTTAAAACTTGCACTTTATCATACTAAAATTTACTGCGCTACAAAGCTCTAACTTTAAGAACCTTGCAAATATTTACCACTATGTACTCATTTCTGCTCCCCACTGTATGCACTTTTTAAACCTTGAAGATAAATCTAAACCTAAGTGTCAAACTCAATCTTAATCTTAATATTAATATTATTTTTAATCTTAATCTTAATCTTAATCTTAATCTTGCTCTTAATCTTAGTATTTATCTTAAGCTCAATCCTAATCTTAACTCTAATCTTACTTTTTCTCTTAATCTCAACCCAAATAATAATCTTATTCTTATTCCTAGTCTTACTCTTAATCTTAATTTTAACCTTATTCTTAATCGAATTCTTAACTTTAACCTAAATATAAATTTTAATTTTAATCAAAATCTTAATCGCAATCTCAATCGCAATCTCAATCTCTATAACAACACTAATCTTAGTTTTAATCTTAATGTTAGTTTCAATTTCACCCTTAATCTTAATCTTAATCCCGATCTTAATCTTAATTTTAAACTTAATCTCAATCCCAATCTCAATTTAGTCTCAACCTCAATCTAAATCTCAATCCAAATCTTAATCTAAATCTTTGTCTTAGTGTTAGTTTTAATCTTATTCTCAAATCTTAATCTTCATCTTAAGCTTAATACCAATCTTAATCTTACTCTTAATCTTAATCTCAATCTCACCCTTAATCTTAAACTTAATCGTGCCCAACTACCCCCACTATCTTCTGTCGCTTTTACATGTCATTCCTACCCATTTTCCCTACATCGATGTTTGCATTTACACACAAATACATACATAAAAATATTCAAAACGCTATTCGCCTACTTGTGAGGCCTTCCATCCCTACAAACGCCCACCGCGGTTACGCCAGTGGAAATCGAATAAGTACTACAATATGCACATGATCATAGAAAATAAGCTGCTTTCTGTTTGCAACAACAAAAAAAAAAAATTCATAAGCAAATGATAACAAACTCATTGCTTGTTGATTATTTCTGTTGTTGGCTGCTACAGCTGTGGCTTTGTATTTATTTGAAATTATTTTTGCTTTATTTTCTATTGATAATTATTTTTTTTTTTAATTTTGTTTGTGTTGTAGAATTTAACGCGTGCATACATACAATTGTTATATACATATCTACATACGAGTTCTAGCGTATGGGCATGTACATATACATGTATATGGTAGTATGTATGAAATAAATAAAAAAAAACCTTTGAATACTTTACTGAACTGAACTGAAATTTTCCACTTAACGCTTGCTTGCACAACTACAACAATGCTTACTAGCTGCTTTGGCTTAAACAGAAATCAGCTTATTATAATTTTTTGAGCTGCAGTCTCCACTTTTTGTTTTTATACAATTTTTGTTGAGTCTATCGTTTGGGTTTTATGTAATTTGTTTTTTTTTTTATACATATTTTGCGACTTACTTTTTATTTATCTTGCTGGTTACAGTGCTGTTGAGCGATTGTTTTTGTTGTATATATGTATGTAGTTGTTTTGTCGCCAATTGCTCGCCTTTTTTTTTGCTTGGCTACTATGTAGCTTGTATGTTGGGCGAGCTATAAATATTCTATTGGTTGAATATTTTTATGTTAAAGAATTATTGTTTATGCTTATTAGTTATAGTTTTATGCCTTTTCAAATTGGTGTGCTACGAAATTCTTTTAGTTTGCTCTTTTATTTATAGCAGTGTTCTTGTTTTGGCTTTTGTTTTGTTTTTTTTTTTTTGGAAACTTGTTGCTTTTTTATTTTGTATTGTTATATTGTCTATGTACATTTGTAGATAATTAGGTATGCAAGTATGTGTGTGCTACTTTTTATTTTTACTTGCTTTGTTTGAGCTTAGGAATGATTGATTAACAGGAACGCAGACAGTTTCACTATTAGTCTAATTAATTTATTTTTAAATGAATTTTTTTCTATAAATGTTTATGTGTACTTTTATGGGCTACGTAAATTTTTTATGAGAGTTTTTAATGTATTTTCTTTTTGTCATTTTTATTAAAAATTTTTTTTTTATTATAACTTTGAAATATTGTCCTTTTAAGTTACTCGTGCAATGATTGCTTAATTAGCTGCAACTTTCTTGCTTTTTTTTTTGTTCGAAAATTGTTTTTGATAACAAGCGATCTTTTCACACTTTCCTCTTCATCACACGTTTGCTACTTGCAAAATTTGCCTGCCGTTCTTATTATTTTAATTATTTAATTATTTTTTTGCATGAAAAAAAAAACGTTTTTAAATTGTATTTCGCTTCAACTGTCTAGTCGCATCGCAATTACGTAAAGAAATCGTTCACTCAAACGCAATCTCAAAAAAAAAAAAAAATACCACAACAAAAATAGCGCTAAGGAATTTATTTATTTATGCCTTTTACGCCACTCATATTTTTATCTACATAATTTTATTGTTGCTGAGTAAATAATTCTTCAGCACAGACGTTGTTGCTTGCGTCGTTGTGTCGGACCGAAAACCCAGCGCAAAAAGAAATCTTCAGCCAAAAATTTTGTTTTCTGTTTCTTGTTTTTTTGTGTGTGAAATAATCGCGCAAACTACTCGCTAAACGTTGCAAGTGTTTTAAGCAAACGAAAATAGCCCAAGTGTACGCGCACCAGACGTTTGTAGACGTAGACGAGACACACTAGCCGCCACAAAATTTAAAATTTTTTTTTATTGTTTATTTATTTTCGTATTTGCTTGCTCTGTCTTCATTTAATCTTATCACACACTTTTAACGTTTTTTTTTGTTAATGTTTATTAGCGTTTGCTTCGTTGCAGCCGTATCTAGACATGTATTCACGTCTTCACGTTCATCGAAAATGGCGTCCACAATGGCGGACGTTTGCTAAAAGTTTTACAACCGACGCGCCTGACGGGCATACAGCTACTGAGCAAAGCAACCACCTCGATGAAGCGGTCAAGTCACTAAAACCGAACTAGCTGGTCTGTTCGCTGTACGCAGTTGCTCCAAGCTTTGGTGCTCTGGTGCACTCTGATGCTTCGTTGCTCTGTTGCTGTTCCTATTACTGCTGTTTGGTTGGTGTTTGTTGCTCTTTCCGTTGGTGTTGTTGACACGGTGCGCTGGTGGTTGTCGGTGGTTGTTTGTCGTCGTTGTCGTTGTCGTTCTCGTCATCCTCATCCTCATCGCTATCGCCATTGCCGTCGTTCACTTGCTTCGTTGATAATCTCGATTTTATTTTCTTTTTATTTTATGGGATTTAGGTTTTTTACTTGCGTTCACATTCAAGTTTTCGAAACTCATTACTCACACACACTGCCCAAGTACTTACATATGTATGTAGCTGCAACAAGCTCTCTTTCGTGAGCGCAACTTGTTTTTATGACACTTTTATGGGATTCGCTGTATTTCGTGTTTTCTATTTTATTTTTGTGTGACTGTCTCCACCAAATGTTTGTAGTTCGCACTTCCTCATCTATTGAGTGTGGTTGTTGGCGCTTTTGCCACATTTTATTACGCCATTACTTCCGTTCACTTTTTGTTTCCTGCTCTTTTAACACTATTTCTCATTCTTGTTCCCACACACTGTCGCTCGTCCCTCTCTCTCTCTTTCTCTCTCTCTATGGTTCACACCTCAGAACTTTTTCTAAATTGTTTTTATTTACCTTTCGCTTCCAATTTTTCTTGTCCACTTCTGCACTCTTCAATTCCCAACGTTGTTGTTGTTTTTTTACAGCACTCACCTTTTCATAATTTCCGCTTGTGCCTATTTATGTTTTTGTCTACATTTCATAGTCGTATTTATCGTCTAATTTTGCTATTTTTTGTCATCGTCTATGCGACTTTTCGTATGGTGTGGTTTTTATTCGGATTCGATTGCCTATGTACATACATACATATGAGTTCATAAGTACTTAGAATTATATCTGTCAGACATAGAATTCGTTATCAACTCACCTGAACCATTATTATGGCTGAAAAAAACAAAAAAAAATTATATTATTTGGGTGACGTAGTTGTCGATAATTAAAAAAAGTTTTACTAAGATTTAGACAAACAGACAACCCAAATATGTATTCGTTTGCCCGAAATTGTTCTTGCAGATCACCGTAATGTTTTCCGATTGGACATATATTCGGTTAGCCCAGCAGCTATCAGGTTCTGGGTCTCTGTCAAGGTGTGCTTCTTTCTATCTTTTTCTTTCAGCTGCGTCTGGTTACATCCTTGTTAGTAGACCACTCCATAGTTACATATATTGCAAGAAATAGTGCTGTGCATGAGTTGGCTAGGAGAGACACGCTTGAGTCCATATGCCCGTGAAAAGAGTAAATCGAACTATTCTTGAAGAGATGGGCCTCGTGTCAGTTTGGCGACTGAAACCACTATAACAGAACCTTTCCCAACCTTAACGATATGGCTTCAGAGATTATAGCCCGACCTATTTTCTGTGAAAGAAAAATCTCTTAAAGGTCAACCAAAATCGTATACGAAAGAAGATCCTAAACTGGCCAACGTCTGAGATCGGTAACCAAATACTTGAAAAAAATTGCGGCACCCAACATCTTCCCTTTCGGTACCAGATACCGATTCGATACTTTAAGCTCCATCTTAACCCAGCCAGCGAAAAAACCGCAAACGGATCCCTATAAGTACCTACATGTGGCTTTTCATAGCCGGTGCTCTCCTAAACAGCTGTTATTCCATATTTTTTTGGCGATATCGGTCTATTAATAAGAAATTCCAATATTTCGGTACTGAGAATCGAGAGTTTTGGATACTCTTTGAATCGGTATCGAGTATCGATCAATACTAAAAAGTATCGTCTCAGCACATCTTTAATGTTGCAGATAGGCACACTTAGGTTCAGTGGTAACGTCGTGATACCAATTGAGAGTTCGTATTCGATCCCATCCGTTCACCTAGAAGTGTAGCCAGTTGATTAGGTTAATAAAGCATAAGAAATCATGAATGCCTGCTTCGTTTAGCTCCGCCAGACATACAAAGAGGTGGTGGTGGAATGGGCGTCTTATAGCCCACGAAAAGACATTGCAGTAGCAGAGGCAGTATTCAATACTCTAAATTTCTTCTTCGTCGCGGCAGCTCTGGCGGAAATCATTGACCGGTAAGCCCATTCTGCTAGCGTGCCTGCCAATTAAGTAGGGTTAAGTTAAGATACCGGAAACTTGCCTTAGTAGAGGTCATTCTAGTCGAATGAGTGTGTTGGATATTTTCTTGTCGAAGCTGGGCCAGATTTGTCGAGTGGTCCCACACGTGGCTTCCAACGACCGTCTTTTATTTGCCTTTTTTTTGTATTTTAAGCCATGTTTTTCCCGCATCGTGAAAAGTTTTGACGTCAGACATTTAACATTTTATAGCTGCTTGGCTGAGTGAGTACTTCGTTGGTGAAGGCAGATTAAGAGAAGATTTTATAAGCCAAAATGCAGCCTCTTTTAGGCCAGCGAGCTCTGCAATGAATTGGTAGCCTAAAACAGCGGTTTAACAAGAGGTCCTTTGAGTGTAGCCGCATCATCCTGTCAGTCCTTCCTCGAAGGGATAGAGGCGTTTTGTAATATGGGACTTAATAGTATCGGGGTAGTTCGTTAGAATGTTGGTGTGACGGAATCTAGTGACTCTTCATTTTGACAGTGCATTTAGTCTAACTGAATAGCTTGAAACTTACCGAAAATTAAACAGGCAGAAATTTTAGAAGTGTTTCCAACGCTTTAGTGGGCGTGGATGGACTGTGATGTCGTTGAATAAAATAGGACATATGACTGCTGTATAAATCCAGTGCGCTTTAGTACCCTATTTCTTACCTAGAGACGTTTTGTTGTCGATTAAGTGCGTTGACTTTTTGCTGTACGAACGGATCTGCACTGTAAAAACTGCACTCAATTAAAAACTTGGAGACGGGCTAGCCAAGACCCGAAAATGGCTGTGGTTCCACGAAAACTATTGATGGATGTTGTGCTGTCGGATACATACATACATATGTTTTCGTTATTGAGAATTTCCTCCCCGAAGAAGATTTCTGCTTATGAAGTTATTGTTGCGGATACCTGGCCTAAACCAGATTATATAAATCCTTCAACCGTTGTCGTCAAACTCAGAAAATGGCAGGTTATGGGGTGTTTCGATGGTATCGGACAAAAGGAGATGTGCTAGTTGAGTGGGTGTCAAAGAGCACATGCATATGTATGTGCAACATGCAAAGTTTAGGACTTCAAAAAGGAAAATTATAGAAAATAACCGATTTATTAGTTTTTACGGGTTATAAAAACATTGCTGATATACACTCAAAATCGCACATATATAGTGATACGGTCTAATATACCAATGCATATGTGTATGTAAATATGTTGTCTTAAACTTACTGCTTCATTCACATCCTCTTGGTTGTTAACTGCTGGGTGGTTCGTCAGTACTTCGGTTTTATCTAAAATTTCTTTACTCTGTGTCATGTTTTCTAAATGTGCTGTTTATTTTGCTTTTACTGTTAGATACGTCACGCATACAAACACATACATACATACATACACTTTACTTAAAATTTGTTACGATGTTGACTTTGTGCTATGACGTCATTGACTAATGTTGGGTTTAGCGAAAAATATTGTTGTTGCTGAGGGTTTTGTAGTAAGTACAATTGTAAAAAAACATACAAACATATAAGTATACTAGCCGTACCCCGGTGTGCTTCTCTACACCAAATATTGAAAAATCCTGGAATTTTTCTATATGAAATTTTTTATTTTTTTTATACTATATTGCAGCCATGTTTATACTTGACTTAATTTATCCGAAGAAAAAATAAACACAGCAGCATTGTTCACTATGTTTTCGATTTTTCATATGTATATCTGCTGTTGTACCATATACATACGTGGTTCATGTGACAGACATAAACTGTCATATATCATGAACCGCTGGACCGAATTCGGGACCACTTCACATAACCCATCTGCATGATAGTCCGAATATACTGTTTAAATTTGGTAGAACTCGTGCACTTATTTTTTAATTTAAGATGGGATGGGGTGCCATGCCCCTTTTTCATTAGCGCACATTTTTTCTCCATGAGTATGGAATTATTTCATATGTCTCTATACCAATTTCCAGTAGTCTACTACAAATATTTCAAGAGATATACCAGATGAAAATTTTTGTTAGTATGGGTAGTGCCACGCCCCCTTTTCCGAATTCGGGAAACTTAACACAAGCCATCTGCATAATAGCCCGACTATGCCGTATAAATTTGGTTGAAATCTTGCACTTATTTTTTGTATATAAGATTTGAGGTGCCACGCCCTCTTTTCCAATACCGCCCATTTTCCTCCATGAGTATGGAATTATTTGATATATCTCTATACCAATTTCCAGTACTCTACCACAAATATTTCAAGAGATATACAACAAAAATTTTAGTTAGTATGGGAGGTGCCACACCCCCTTTTACGAATACCGGCAAACTTCACATAAACCATCGGCTTGATACGGTGGATATGCCGTATAAATTTGGTTGGCTCACACCAAAAACGTGTACTTGTTTTTATATATAAGATACATATGCCACGCCCCCTTTTCCTAATTTGGGCAAACTCCACATAAAATATCTGCATGATGGCCCGAATATGCTATATAAATTTGGTTGAATTCGGTGAAGCCGTTCTCAATTTATAAGCTAACTCACAAATTTTTATATATAAAATAGAACTAACTGCCGAGATAGGTCGATCTTCCACTCAGCCATCGATATCAGCTTAAATTCAGATACATACTTTTGGAAGAACGTAATCAAATATGTGACTCATTACATATTTATGAAAGTGGAACGTTTTTGGTGTCATAGACATAAAGAAACATGTATTAATTGCATCATTATTAAATTCAGGCTAACGATCTTCACGCTTTTATTCCGAAAGGCGTGTAGCGATTTCTATAACGCTGCCTTGTCTTCTGAGATTTCCCCGCAAAATATTGTCCGACTAATCCCTAATGTTATGATCTCTAGAAATAAAGGAAATTGCATCAGTAACATTGCTGAAGATAGCAGGGACTCCCACACATGTGGGTAGTGACAGTGAGTCATTTGTTGCGGCTCATGGAGGCCTTACTTGGACCAAAAACTGCGGTCTTGAGGTTAACCGAGCTAAAACTTAGGTAGTCATTTTTACCGTTCTGCCAAGTAACTTGGAGTAATTCTCGACAGCAACCTGCTCTGGAATGGCAACACAATGGAACGGATCAAGAAAATCACCACAGCGCTCTTCATACGTAAAAAAGGTCATCGGTGTACCGTGGGGCTTCACATCTAGCATAGTTCACTAGTTCTACACTGCCATTGTTCGTCCGATTTTGCTCTACGGAGACCTAGTACAAAAGTGCATACCTTAAATATTTCTAAAAATTCTGAATATAAAGTTTGAAATTTTGATGAAAATTTTTTTAAGTTTGATTCATTTTTAACCGACTTCCAAAAAAGGAGGAGGTTATCAGTTCGTCAGAATATTTTTTTTATGTATGTTACCGCATAACTTTGGACCACGTCAACCGATTTCGATAATTTTTTTATGCATCAGAAGGGTAGTGTCTCAGAGGTGGTCCCATACTAATCTGGTTTAGATCCGATCATTGGATCATGAAATATATATAGATATATATATTTTTTTAAAGCCGTTTTTTTTTTTGCTAAAAATTACTTGTTATGATATTTGTTCAAAGTTTGTAATATATGGTTTTCGTTATAGAATGAGCTATATTTTAAATGAAAATTAACGAAAAAGATTCATGATGGAAAACCTTTTGAATATTGTGAAAAAACTAATTTACGAATACTTCTGTGAGTGTCTGTATTATTTTATATGGCTAAAGCATCCCAATATAAGAATTGAATGTACAAAAAACTTAATTTATTTCGCCGAAATCCCACTGTGCCGAATGCCTTGTGAATACCCCAAATATTTACGGTTCTATTAATTACTTACCAGCAGTTTTATTTTTTAGTGGCGTTGTTGGTTTTGCAGTCGCATGATTTTTTATAGCTTTAACATTTCATTCTTTTGATTTAGCAACTTTAACACTTTTTATATCGTACATAAGATAGGATTGACATATGTTTGTACATATGTATGTATGTATTTCTACGGAAATTTATTTTTTTCTTTAACCTCGCTTTACATACGTAGTTTTTTAAATTTTCCCACTAGTAGCTATTTCCGATTATCACGCCATAAATTTATTTATTTCTTAATTTTTTTTTAACATAAAAACCATTACCTTCGGCATATTGCAGCTATGCAATATGTACGATTTTTTGCTTAATTGTGGTTTTCTCTTTACGCTTCTTTTTTTCACTATAATCGCGTCTGCGATTTTTTTCTGCTTAGCTTTCGTACCGGCATACACAGCTTAGTACTCAACGAGTTGAATGCCTTATTTTTATGGTGTTTCGTTATTTTTTTATTTTTATTTTACTTTTATTTTTATTTTTTGTTTTTGCGTTTTGCTTTCCGATTTTAGTTGTTTAAGTAGTTCTTGTAGTTCTTCGTTTGCATTCCTTTCTTACCACGCCACATATTTTGCTATGTATATACTCGAAATTTACATACATACACACGGGTCCATCGGTATGCTTAAATTGATTTTCTTCATTCTATACACAAACGCACATTGTTCTTGTTGTATTTGTGTTGTTTATTTTGCTTCTTTTTTTTATTTTAAATAGTACTAGGTGCCACATGCTGTTTTTATTTTTTACCTATTTCTCACCGTTCGAATAAAAATAAGCTTATGCTTTGCTGTCCACGGAGCAACTGAGTTGCATTGCACGATGTTGCAGACATTTCAATTCGCCACCATCATCATCATCATCATCATCATCATCATCATCATCATTATTAACGTCATCAACACAAGCGACAACAAAAAATAAAGCAGAAAAAATGACAACAGCAGAATGCATGTAGGAGCAGCTGATGAGTGTGGCACAACTGTGTGGGAAAATAGTACATATTTAGCAGTGCTGTGCTATTGTTGTTTATGGAGGCTGGCTGGTAAAGGTATGGACGAGGTGGTTGAAAGTGCATAAAGCAATGCATGGAAGAAGAAGAAGATATGGCAATACTATTGACTTAGGTACATATGCAAACGGTGAATGCCAGATGAGGGCCCAGAGATTTGTAATCATACGTACATATGACACATAATATCTAAGAAAATAGTACTTTTAAAGTTTTCATATCTGCGCATATGATGACAAAAGTATCTCACCTATCTTACCTCCATTTTTTTTTTTTACAAACTTTGCTATATACATATGCCGCTTAGCTGAAATTGAATTCGCCGCTTATTTAACAGAACAATTGAGAGTGTGCTTAAAATGCGCTCTACATATGAGAGCCTGGTTAAGAGAGAAAAATGTTTTGCAGACGCTATGGCAGTGTGCGTGTACGAGTACCTGTGTGTTCTTGTGTGTTTGTGAGCGGAAGGAAGAGCATAGCTAAAGGAATGCAAAGCTTAAATCACTTTTTTACTTGCAAAATAATGAAAATCGCAGCATATTTTTGCAGCAATCCATATGAAAAGTAGTTGAATTTAAATGAAAATTCATCACAAAATACAAGTTAATTAAAGATTTTTTTTATGAGTAGAATTCGCTTCATCGTAAAATGATTTGAGGCTACACCTCCATACCCAACCAGAGACAAAACTACTTAGCAAAGAAAGAAAAAAAAGTGATTTCTTGTTGCATTTTACGAGCAATGAGAAAAGTGCAAGAATGCAAGAATTTTTGCATTCAAAGCGCTGCAACTTGCCGGCGTATGATTGAAAGAGCAAAATTGTGTGTATCTCTTTATAAAATACATACATACATATTTACATACATACATACATATGTTATATGGGTGTAGTGTTGTGCTTATAACCCTGACAGGTTAAGGCCGAACATTCGTTTAGATGGGTTTGCTATAGAGATGAATGCAGAGGCTACTAAAAAAAAGGCAATTTCAAGCTAATTTTTTAAGTGAATTTGGTTACCTCAGCGCTGCAGCTGGTTTATTCTTCGTCGTTTAATTTAATTTCAAGCGGCACATAGACAACCTACTACGCCTGCGCGCAACCTGGTTCTGTTTTGGGGCAATCGCTTTGAACTTTGTACTTCGCCTCTAGATCGACTGCTCTTTTGCAGGCTTCGCGGCATCTGCCGATTAGGGGATTCCATTTCAAGGCCTTCTATGCCATATTTACTATCGTCTTCTTTGCGCAAAGTGTAGCCTATCTACTTCAGTTTCTATCTCCGCATAGTTAACAATTGCATTACTTGGTACTTAGTTTGCTGCCTCAGAGCTTTTGAGAAAGTATTTAGATGATTCCATCTCATCGCCCTCTAAACAGCTGCGACGGTGAGGATCTGCTATGATATTTACTTACAAGCCAATTCTGACTAAGTAAGATAGTTGTAGGTCTTTTGTAAGACGATTGAAGGATAGTAGGCAAGATAGTTTGAAAAATAAAATTGTATTCTGGAGCGAAGCTCTTACAAAAAAAAAACTCCCTTGCCAACTTTCATGGTGAGAAGCTCTTTTGACAGAAAGCATTTGAGCTTTCAAATGTGCATACATACATACAAAAGTGTATATAATTTTGCTCGCGCTGCTCCAACACTAGCAATGGTCGGGTGAGTA